CACTACATCTAATTATCGAGGTATAACTATCTTGAGTATTTTTAATAAAATTTATATTTCAGTCTGGAATGCCGGATTATAGTTTTGGTGCGATGTGTATGAAAACATTTCGGAATCACAGGCCGGATTTCGGCACGGTTATTCGGTTATGGATAATATCTTCATTTTGTAGTCTGTTGTTGGTCGACTCTTCGGGAAAAAGAGAGGTAAAGTCTATGCCTTGTTTGTGGATTTTGCTAAGGCTTTCGACTTTGTTAATCGTTCCAAGCTATGGTCAGTTTTGCAACACAAGGGAGTTTCGCCAAAACTGTTAGGGTGTATTAAATCAATCTACGAGAGCGTAAAATCGAGCGTTAAATTTGATAATCTTGTTTCAGATATGTTTGAGTATAATGTTGGAGTGCGTCAGGGATGTGTTTTAAACCCCCTGCTATTTTCGTTGTTTATTAATGATCTTGCTGATCATGATATCCTGGCATCCAGTTACATCCAGACTTGACTCATCTATTCTTATTACTGTTTGCGGATGACGTCGTGCTTATATTTCTCACGGTTGGAGGGTTACAAAATCGAATTAACGTGTCACAACATTATTGTCACCAATATAATTATACTGTAAATTTAGATAAAACAAAAGTGGTTGTCTTTAAAAACGGCGGAGTTCTTTCGAGGGGCGAAAAATGGTATTTTGATGGCCATCTTATTGAATGTGTTTCATCTTATAGGTATTTAAGTGCGGTATTTTCTATGAATCTAACTTGGAATAAGCAGTTTATTAGTTCATCGTTGCAATCTAGAAAAGCATCATTTGGTGTTTTAAAATGTCTGTCGAAGCTTAGACCATTACCATATGATGTTTTCTTTAAGGTTTTTTATAGTAAAGTGATTTCAATTTTATTGTATGGTTCTGAAATATGGGGACTAGACTTTGATTTTGAATGTAAGATTAGCAGTGTTATTGAAGGAGTTCATGTTCAAGCATGTAAATATTTTCTGGGTGTGAAAGCGTCAACTTCAAACCATGTTGTTCGTGGCGAGTGTGGGAGATACCCGGTATATATCTTTGCCTATAAGCGTTGTATAAAATATTGGTATAAACTGCTATCCACGCCAAAATCACGCTTGCCCAAAACATGTTATAACATGTTAATATTAGATATGAGTCATGGTAAATGTAAAGTTTGGCATACATCTTTGTCACAAGGTTGTAAAGCATCTAATTATTCTATGTACAAGTTAAACTTATATCCATGGCATTATATTAAGCATATAACTATTCGGAAATTTCGTGTCGCTTTAGCTAAGTTTAGATGTAGTTCTTACCAACTGACAAATGAGATGGGTAGATATTCAAATGTTCCAAGAAATAAACGATTTTGCGATGTTTGTAAAATGAACTATGTCGAAGATGAGTACCACTTCTTGTTAGTATGCCGGGCTTATGTCGATTTACGTAAACAGTGTATTCCTAGGAAATACTACTTAGCTAAATTTAATCTTTTAATATCAAGTGAGAACAGTGATCTTATAAGAAAGTTGGCTATGTATGTTGAGAATTCTATGCAGTTAAGAAAAATCTGTTAATGTAGGCAATATGTAGTGTGGCTGCTGTACAACTGCTGTGTCATGGGCCGATGGCCTACGTCTCTTGCTGAATAAACCACAATTACGATAATGGCTACAGAATCCCTTTTTATTCAACCCCAACCCCCCACCCCCCAGATAATGGACAGACGAAGTAACAGATCAGCGCTGTGCAATGGTGACTTTGTAGAAAGTGCTATTCGTGATTTAGTCAAGAAGTGTTTGGTCGTTGTTTGTGACAAGAAACCTACTGTCGTTAGTCCTTTATCTGTTGCTACTCGGTCGTCTGGCAAGAAGAGAGTTTTTTTAGATCTATCTATATTAAACAGGCATGTTTGGAAATGCTCTGTAAAGTATGAATACTGGCGAACAGCTCTTATGTACATAAACAAAAATGACTGGTTGTTGAAATTTGACATACATTCTGCCCATCACCACGTACATATTTTCGAACCTCATACTGATTTCTTAGGATTTTCTTGGGGTGTTGGTGGGGACAGAACATTTTACAAGTTTGTAGTTATGCCTTTTGGATTGACAACTGCTCCTTACGTGTTTACTAAAACTACACTTCTATTGGTAAAGTACTGGCGATCTCAGTCGTACAGATGTGTGACATTTCTAGATGATGGGATAATGTCTGGTGATAGTTTGAATAGTGCAAGAAGCATTGGGCTAGCTATCAAGAGTGACCTGATTAAATTCGGTTTTGCACCGAAGGTTGAGAAGTCGTTATGGGAGCCAAGTCAAGTTGTTGAGTGGCTGGGTCTTGTCACTGATACCAGAGTTATGATGTTGTCCACTCCTACACGGAGGCTGGACAAGCTACTGTCGTCTGTCCGATATCTGTTAGATCATCCAGGTAAGTTTCGGCTCGATCTGTTGCTTCAGTTGTTGGCCACATTATGTCCATGAAGATTGTAGCGGGTTCCGCTTGCCAGTTGATGACAAGATAATTGAGTATTCAAGTGTTTTCCTGGAATGATTTTATTACACTATCTCCTGAGAGTTTAGATCAACTAATATTTTGGAAGAACAATCTGCATAGGCACAAGGACTTTATGCTAGTAGAACAACGTGTGGTCACTAAAGTAGTATACAGTGATGCTAGTTCTAGTGGATATGGCGGATATTGTGTTCAGCTTGGCCAGAGTGAGATATATGGACAATGGTCTACATAAGATGCGAATAAGAGTTCGACATGTAGAGAGCTGATGGCGGTAAAGGTGGTCCTTCAATGCTTGGCTGGGGAGTTAGCCTCGCAGCAAGTAAAGTGGTTCACTGACAATACGAACGTTGAATCCATAGTGTGTAAAGGTAGCATGAAACCAGATTTGCAGGTTATTACCAGATCTATATTCGATGTTTGTTTATCTCCTTCTGTGCATTTGGAAATGCAATGGGTCCCTAAATCTCTTAAGGATATAGCTGACTTTTTTAGCAAGAGTGAGTGAGTGAGTGAGTTATTATTTAACGTCACATCGGCAATATTTCAGCCATATCGTGACGAGAACACTTGACATTAAATAGAATATATATAGAAATAATAAAACCTGCCGACGAAGGACAGTAAAACAACTAGAATATCACAATTACAACTAAAACTAGTACTGAGAGTTAAAACTGATAGCACTATTTGGACAATACAATTTAAAAACAAGCTATAGATCGCCAACACCAGAAGGTAGATCACCAAACTAGGGACCACGGGGACTTACAGTACCTTGGCTACCTGCATGGACCCTAGTTGGATTTACACCATCCCTTCAGCTGCTGGCGATTGTAAGAAATGTTAGCTATAATTAAAAAGACAAGAATGCTACGTCTAAAAATCCTGGCAAGTTTAAATTGACTTTGAAAGTTTTGGGACTTACGTACCCCCTCAGGAGGACAATAATTTTACGCTACGTCAACCCCCTTTGAGGGTACAGCCACTAACAATCTTAGTAACTAATATAAACTACCAATAATAAAATATTTATCTATTTACAAATCAGTTAACAAATCTAATTCTCTTAAAAATTCAACTATTAAATGATAATTAACATTATAAAAAAGATCCTTCAATGTTTTGACATTAAAATACTTATCCCTTGTGATGGAATATTCAACACAGTCAAGCAGGACATGCTTGACCGTGATTCTTTCATCACAAGGGATACAAAACGGAGGATCTTCACCTTTCAATAGGTACTCATGAGTATATCTTGTGTGGCCAATACGACAACGTCGTATGATGACCTCTTCAAATCTGGACTGACAACCCAAGTAGGTGTAACCGATAGTTGGTTTAATTGCTTGTAATTTATTGATACCTACTTGGGTGTCCCACTTCTTTTTGCATCAGATCACGGATGTATGTTCTAATGCTGGCTTTATAATCAGAGTATGGGATAAGAAGTGGTGTCACAGATTTGTTGAGGGCTGCCTTAGCAGCAAGATCAGCCATGGTATTCCCAGAAATGCCAACGTGGCTGGGTAACCAACAAAAGACGATGTCGCATTGGCCAGTAGCAAGCTCATTATATAATTCGATTATTTCAATTAAAAGTGGATGTTTGCAAGATATATTTTTAATAGCCTGAAGGCAAGAAAGAGAGTCAGAAAATATTATATATTGTTTATGTTTGGGATGTCTTTGAATATATTTAAGAGCTGTTAATATGGCGTCTGCTTCTGCTGTGAAAATAGAGCTGTTATTGGGTAATCGAGAAGAGATTGTTCTGGATCCAATGACGGTGGCACAAGCAACCGCACCACCATCCTTGGACCCATCTGTAAATAAGGATGTGTATGTAGTATATTTAGTTTTTAATTGATTAAATTCTTGTTTATATTGTAATTCATTTGTTTCTGATTTTTTAAATGTTGTCAGTGTAAGGTCAACCTGTGGCCTCACCAATTGCCAAGGAGGAGAAGAAATAAGACGGGAAGGAGCTATATGTTCTAGCTCAATGCCAGCAGCAGAAAGGAAAGGTTTCACTCTTATACCAAGAGGTGGAACAAGAGAAGGCTTCTTGTTATACAGATCTTCATATATTGGATTAAAGACACAGTCATATGCAGGGTTTGACTTATTGGAATAAAGTTTTGTTATATACTGTAAAGTTAATTTTATACGGCGTTGTGTAAGAGATGGCTCATCAGCCTCGATGTAGAGGCTGTCAACAGGTGAAGTTCTAAAGGAACCAAGACATAGTCTTAGACCTTGGTGGTGGACAGAATCTAAAAGTTTTAGGTTGCTTTTGCAGGCTCCACCATACACGATGGAGCCATAGTCAAGTTTGGAACGAACCAATGATCGATATAATTGTAGTAGGGTAGCTTGATCCCCTCCCCCACTTAGAATTGGAAACGACTTTCAGCAAGTCAAGTGCTTTCATGCATTTAGTTTTAAGGGCCTTGATATGGGGAAGAAAAGTTAGATGCGAGTCAAAAATTAAACCCAAGAACTTGGCTTCCTTAACAACTTTGATAGGAGAGCCATTTAGAAACAGTTCCGGGTCTTTATGTGGTTTATATTTTCTACAAAAATGGATACAATTAGTTTTGGATTTAGAAAATTTAAATCCATTCTCAAGACACCATTTATCTATTTTGTTTAAACACAACTGCAGTTGCCGTTCAATAGTATGCATATTTTTTACCACGACAAGAAATATTAAAATCATCCACGAATAGTGACCCATCGATTGAATCACTTAAGACCTTTGATAAACTATTGATCTTAACACTAAACAATGTGACAGACAAAATACTACCTTGTGGGACACCCTGATCCTGCTTATAATGGTCAGACAGGGTAGAACCCACGCGGACTTGAAATTGCCTATCAGTTAAAAACTCGGATATAAACTGAGGCAAACGGCCTCTCAAACCAAAATCATGTAAATCTTGTAAAATGCCGTGCTTCCATGTCGTGTCATAGGCTTTCTCTAAATCGAAAAATACTGACACTGCATGCTGCTTGTTAATAATGGCATTTTTAACGAATGACTCCAATCGAACTAAATGGTCAATGGTACTGCGATTTTTACGAAAACCACATTGAATATTTGTGATTAAATTATTTGACTCTAAGTACCAAGTTAATCTGTTATTGACCATGCGTTCCATGGTTTTGCAAACGCAACTAGTCAAGGAAATGGGCCTATAATTTGAGGGATCGGTATGATCACGTCCAGGTTTAGGTATGGGTACAACAATGGCATCACGCCAAGATGAAGGAAAGTTACGAGATGTCCAAATGTCATCAAAAATATTTAATAGTGTTTCTAAACAAGATTCCGGTAAGTGTTGCAGGAGTTGATAATGAATGTTATCAGCTCCTGTTGCAGTATTGTGAGCTTGTTCAAGAGCAGTATGAAGCTCGTGGATAGAAAAGATTTCATTATAGTCTTCCCCATTATCCGAATGAAAATTGACTTGTTTCTTTTCTTGCATTTTTTGGAATTTTTGAAATTCGGGAACATAGTTTGACGAGAAAGAATGTTTTGCAAGTGTCTCACCCAGTTTATTTGCGATGTCAGATTTATCTGTTAACAATTGGTCCCCAATTTTGAGATGATTTATGCTTGATTTGGTACCCTTACCTTTAATTCTCTGGATCATGTTCCATACCTTGGACATCGGCGTCCGTGAATTTATTTTCGAAACGTAATTTTGCCACGACTGGCGCTTATTAAGCTTAAATGTTCGACGTGCTCTAGCGTTTAAAATTTTAAATTTATCTAAATTATGCACCATTGGGTGGCGACGAAAATAGTGTTCAGCTTTTTTCCGTGCCTTTCTAGCTTGTTTGCAGTCATTATTAAACCATGGTTTACGTATATGTGGATTTGTAGAGGACCTAGGAATACACTCATCAGCTATTTTGTGTAGTTCATCAGAGAATAATTGCACTGAATCAAGAGCATCAATAAAACGAGCAGGAGTTAGTTTGTCAATACAGAGTAATTCAAACAAAGGCCAGTTTGCTTTGTTGAAGTTCCATCTTGATGATGGAGCAACATCAGCAGGAGTTATTGTTTTAAGAATGGTTGGAAAATGGTCGCTGCCACACAGGTCGTTATGGACTGACCATTCAAATTCATTTAACAGATCTGTGTGAGTGAGTGATAAATCAAGAGAAGAATATGTGCCTGTGCCAGGATGTAGGTATGTCTTCGAATTATCGTTAAATATACACAGATCGTTGTTTGAAATAAAATCTTCTAGTACTGTCCCATTTCTGTTTGTATGAGAACTACCCCAAAGAGGATTATGACCGTTCAAGTCACCCATAATGATACACGGTTTGGGGAGCTGGTCATAAAGAGCCTGAAGATCAGTTTGGTGAAGAGTGGAAGATGGCGGCACATAAAGGGAGCATAATGTAAAGGCAATGTGTAAAGTCAACCTGACGGCAACAGCCTGAAGTGTTGTTTTTAGGGGAACAGGGCTATGTATAACACCCTGTCGCACCAAAATTGAAGAGCCACCAGTAGCTCGGAGTCCCGGAGGAGAAAAGAAGTTATATGAAGTATACTGCCGGATATCAAATTGATCTGTGGTTTTTTAGGTACGTCTCCTGTAAACAAAATGCTGATGGTGTGAAATCTTGTATTAGTAATTGTAAATCATTAAAATTATTTCTCAGTCCTCTACAATTCCACTGAACAATGTTATTTGAGCCACTCATGGAGGATCAATTGGAGAACGCGGATTGGAGTGAGGTCTACTCCCATGGACTGGGACAGAGGGATTGACCTCCATCTCCAAAGGTTCAAATTGATTTTGAACCTGTACAGGGGACGACTGAGAGGAAGGCACCTCCAAATGTTGAAGGGCCCTGGTCCTTCCTCTCGATTTTTTCTTTTCCTTTTTTTCATTTTTGGATGGTTTAATTTGCTGTGATGCATTTGAGGCACATTCAGGATCAGAAGCAGGATCTGCTGATGGCAGCGATGTGACAGTCTCCGTCTGAGAGGCCGATGTCGAAATACAAGAGATACCAATTTGAGAGGTCTGGATTTTATCATCTATTGTAAATTGTTTGTTCACCCAGGATATGGATGTCTGACACGACGTTGATGTCATGGGAGGTCTGGAGGTATTGCCACGAGAGGAAACTACAGTTGAATATGAAATAGTAGAATTGGATGATACAGTTACCTGCTTTTTAGCTTCAGCATAAGAAATGTTGCTGGTGTGTTTTATCTTTTGAATTTTAGTCTCACGTTCGAAGACCGGGCATGATTTTGATGAGGCCAAGTGTTCTCCATCGCAGTTAGCACACTTGATGCTATTCGTGCACTCAGAGAGTTCATGTGCACCACCACAATGGGAACATACCATGGTATTACGGCAGAACCTGGCCCCATGACCAAACTTTTGGCATTTGAAACATCGGAGCGGAGTTGGTACATATACCTCAACTCCGATGTTAAAGTACCCAGCTTTTATACTTTTTGGAAGCGTGGAAAGTGAGAACGTAAACAAGTACGTATTCAACTTGACAATTGTGCCATCATCTTTCTTTTTAGAAAAACGCTTTACTCCTGTTACGCCCTGGTTTTCTAGTTCATGAACAATATCGTCCTCATCCATATCAGAAAGGCAACGGGCCCTGTCTCTGACTATACCTCTGCAGGAGTTCAGAGTTCTGTGCGCCGAGACAACAACAGGTGTATTCACAAACTGTTTTAGTTTCAACAGATTGACCGATTGTTGTCTACGGGCACATTCCACTAAGAGCGAGCCATTTCGGAGACGTGTAACGTCCTTCACTTCTCCACAGACACCATAAATGCCCTTGGAGATTGCGAAGGGGTTCAGTTGTAAAGGAGTGTCTTCTATAGAGGAGATAACAATGAACCTCGGCCACGAGTCAACAGTGTCAGAAGATCCTTCATCCGACGATGTAGATTCTACAAATCTACGTTTATGCTTCGATGAACCAGAAGGAAGAGGAAAAGCCATGGTGAAGGAAAAGTGTTCAACATCCCTGCTCCCCACCCACCATGGAGTGTCAACAAGGACGGTGTTACAGCGGAATCCAGCATGCTCCACCAGGGTTACAGAGATGTTATACTCCAGCACATAAACACTTGAATAGCTGTCGAATCTAACAGAACAAATGGCAGGCTGGTTCGCCCTTGACACCTTTCTGAAGAAGAACAGAATTCAGAGGTCTCTATTGCCAGATTGGCCCATGAGCCACCGCCTTCTGGCATAGGACTCTAGGCAATTCAACATGAGAATAATTTGTAAATGGAAGACCAAAATATCAAAAGCCCCAAAATAAGAATGTGTGCAAATAATATATGTACCATGCACAGGGCTTGGCGTGACCAGCCGATTGATAGAACCGGGCCAGTTCTACCACCCGTCTAGGTGAAGTAAGGGTCGAAGTGGTGTATTGGGCAAAGGAACGCTGTTCCTGGAGCCCTTGCCCTCAACCACCAGAATCCCGTCCTCCACCGACACAGGGGCGCAACCCACGGCAAACGGGTTGGTGGACCTAATATCCCCCCGGGTCCACAACGGGGGGTTGAAGGGCGCTTAGCGTGACCCAGCACCCACCACGAGGAGGTGGCCCTTCACGGGTGCCTTTTTTAGCAAGATAATTGATCACGATGAATGGGGAATTTTCGCAAAATATATGTTTAGAAATCTGGAAGATATGATGTCGACAGATTTGCTTCTCATTACAACGCAAAATGTCAATTTTCTGTTCAAGATTCTGGGATCAAGGATGTGTTGCAATAGATGCATTCACTGAGCATTGGGGTGATACACACAACTGGATTATTCCGCCTGTGTATCTTGTTTGTAGAGTTCTGGCTCATATGAAGGTTTGCAAAGCTAAAGGTACTTTGGTTGTGCCAGCGTGGTACTCTGCCAGCTACTGGCCATTGTAGTGTCCGAAAGGAACTTTCATACCTGATATCGTGTATTTACCCAGAGACAAGGAAGCTTATGTACCCAGCCGGATTCCAGGGGGTATGTTTGGTGAGAGAGACTTAACCTTTGACATGTTGGCAATCAATATGAAATACTGATTGACTTATTCTCTTTGCTGATGTCTTTGAGATTGCATACGCTGATGACATTCATAGCCTTTCAGGCCCAGGCAGAGAGTTGGTTAGTAGAATTCCAGAACTTTTGCAATTTGCACGAGCTGATTCAACTAATAAGAAATATGATTATGGAATTCAGAGGTGGTTAAAGTGGGCGAGAAGTAATGATATGCCTATACATTTTCCTATTAAACCTTTACACTGTGCCATTTACCTAGTTTCTGTGATGCAACTAAGCCATTCTTTTTCGCACGTTCATGCGGCTTTTTATAGCATTCGTCATGCTCATAGTATTATAGGCTTTCCCAGTCCTACTGATAATCTTCTGGTGAGAAATGTGTTGGAGGCTGCTAAGTGCAAATTGGCTAAACCAGTGTGTAAAAAACAGCCTATATCTATCGAGATATAAGAAAGTTTGGTTGATTTTTATTCGGATACAGCATGTTTGAAAGATGTCCGCATTGTGTCAATGTGCCTGCTTGCCTATGCTGGGTTCCTGAGATCTGCAGAGTTGCTCAGTTTGAGACGCACTGACATTTATAAAGCTTATATGATGGTTTTCATTGAGAAATCAAAGACTGATATGTATAGAGATTGGTCATGGTTATTGATCAGCAGGACAAGTTCCAAGATGTGTCCAGTCATGTGGTTGGAGAAGTATCTGGCGTTAACGCAGTTTCCCGAAGAATCACAAGAGTACTTGTATAGGAACATTTCCAAGTGCCATGATAGGTTTGTCCTTAGAAAAGAAAATAGAGCTATGACTTACTCTCGTTTGAGAGAGTTGTTTATTGAAACGTTTTCTCCTTTCGTTTCTGATATTAGACAGTACGGCTTGCACAGTTTGCGTGCAGGTGGTGCCTCTGTGGCTGCTAACAGTGGCATCCCGGACAGGATGTTTAAGAGGCATGGCAGATGGAAAAGCGAGAGCGCTAAAGACGGTTATGTCAAAGATTCTGTAGAGAACCGTGTGCAAGTGTCGCAGGCCTCTAGTTTGCCCGTTCTTTGAGTCTCGCGGCGGAGCACAGCATAGCCATCCAATGTGTGTTATGTCATTTGCTGTATTGTGTTGGAATGGCTAGGAGAAATGATATTTTTATTGTTTGAGGGACGAATGAGATAGAAATGACTTTCTCCTAGCGTAGGGGAATACAACAAAGGGGTGTAATTCAGTTGTAGGTGGCGCCTAATGAGAGTATATAAGGTGTATGATATTTGAATTGTCATTCTCGCTTGTTGTGCACCAAGTATACATTGCGTCATGGATACTTCTGAAAAGTTTGATATTGTACTTTAACCTATTCTAAAGGTTTCAGGTCATTGTATGCTCGGTGCCATGAGAGCAGCTCCTCGCTGTCTGCAGGCTCGTTGCTATGGGAGAGGCTCGTCGCCTTTTGAGAGGCTTGTCGCCGTCGGCCATGTTTGGCGCCGATAGAGGCTTGTCGCCATTTTGAGAAGCTTGTCGCCATTTTGAGAGGCTTGTCACCATCGGCCATGCTTGGTGCCGACTGAGAGGCTTGTCGCCGTCTGCTAGGCTCGTTGTCAGTTATATTGGTTTGTCAGTGTCTCCGAGAGGCTTGTCGCCGCTTCCTTTCAGGCTTGTATGTACTTGTAAGTATATACACCCTTCTTTCACGCAATAAACCACGGCGGTGCACAGCATAGCAATCCAATGTATCTTAGGTCATTTGTTGTATTGTGTTGGAGTGAGTGAGTGAGTGAGTTTAGTTTTACGCCACACTCAGCAATATTCCAGCTGTATGGCGGCGGTCTGTAAATAATAGAGTCTGGACCAGACAATCCAGTCAAGGGTCATATTGTGTTGGAAGGGCAAGGAGAAAATCATTAGTCTTTCATAAATTGTCTTTGTATTAGAGTGTGAATCTTCATCTGACCAATTATTTGTTTTATTAAGACTCAGCTGCAACTGTCTCTCAAGGATGACACATTCAATTTACCTGCAAATAATGTTCCATCAAAGGATTCATTTGAAACTTTAGATACGCTGTTCATGTTTATACTGATAAGCGTTACCAATGATATGCTACCAATCCATTTAAATGGTCCGTAGTATTTTTTCTCAAAACCACATTGAATATTTGGAATAATAATATTTGTTTCTAAGTATTAATCCACCATTCTTTCCATGGTTTTACAAACACAACTAGTAACGACATTGGCCTGTGTCTTGAATCATCAGGTTTTGGAACTGGAATTCAAACAGCATTCGGTCATGATGAAAGGAAATCATCTGTTGTCCAAACCTGATCAACTGTATTCAAAAGTGTTTCTAAACGATTGGGCATCTAACCACACTTTCCCTGAGGGCGACATAGTGTGTGCCCTCGGTTGGATGTTTTCAGCAAGATCCATTATTTGACGGGATCCAAACTGATTATTTGACCCCTTTGAAACTCTGGTACTTTGAAGTCCTTTCGGTTCTTGGTTTGCTCTTTGGTTTGTTTTACATTTCTTAGAGTTTTAGGTTTTTGGAAAGTGATGACGACTGTGACTGGTCTTTGGAGAACTTGGGTGTGTCAGAAAGTGATTTAGAAGCTCGATTGGCCTGCTCACTGGAATAAAATAAAGGTGTTTCTGTGTTCACCCACGTTACGTCTGTCTGACAGCGTATAGATGTAGCATTGTTGTAATTGGGGGTTGATTCAGTAGGTGACCTAACAACAGGTGTATAGGCTTCCGTAACATCTTGTGACATAATAAAGTTCCTTTGCATCAGACGAGCTGATTTCTGGAAAATGTAATATTAATTATGCCTATCCATCTGTTGTTTCCAGATGGGACAGTCCTTTTATTGGATGGGTGATTCCCTGAACAATTTGTAAGACTGTAATGTCACAGTCTTCTGTAGTTTGCATACAGGTACTGACAACATTCCAGGATTTGGAAGGAAGATGTCAACGCTGGTATTGGAGTAGGTTTCTTTAACTCATGTAGGGGCAGTTGGTAATGAAAAGAAAAAGAGATATTTTGTTAGGTGGTTGAGTTTGAGAGTATGTTTCTGGTTGAGAATATTTTAAACAAAACGCCTTGACCTGTCATTTCAGATGCTATTTCAATTTTAGTCATGTTTGTGAACAATATTGGTCCCTGTTGCGTACAATTCCTTTGCTGCTATTGAGAGTTGTGTGAGCTGTGATTGAAATTGGACAAAAGAAACGATCGACATGAGGTTCATAGGTTTCCTGATATCAACATAGAGCCTGATGTCAATGATCTGAAGTCCTTAACTTCAATAGCAAAGCCATGAATACCCTTGGTTATTGAAAAGGTTTTCAGTTTAAGGCGTGTGTTGTCAATTGTCTCAATTACATGTGGCGAATATCCTATTTATTTTGAAAGTCTCAGTTCATCATGTTTGTAAACGTTTGGATTGTTTTGGTGGAGGCCGTTCCATGGTTTTTTTGTTGATCATCTGAGCTCCCCACCATCCACGTAGTATCACAAAGACAAAGCCAAATACAACACGGACCAAGGCTACCCGGATGATACTCCAGCAGAAAAATATAAACGTTAATTATTCAACCAGGCTGGGAATTAGGATTCTAGGCAAATTATAAAAGGGAACCTGCTCATTTGAAATTCAAAAATATCATTCAGCCAAGTCATTTGACAAAAATTCCAAATATTTTATTCAATCTAAGCAACTCAATATAGATGCACAGGACTCAACATGACCAGCCGATTTATCGGGCCCATTCTACCGCCCGTCTAGAGGAAGTCGAAGTGGTGAATTGGTCTGAGGAATGCTATTCCTGGAACCAGTGCCCTAAACATATTTCGTCGCAATCATTTCAAAATTTAAGATCTAAATACAGAGAATTCATACCGAAAATTAATTCAACCGACAGCTGACTATTGTAAGAAAGGGGGTGATATATCTTATCTAGCTGGAACAATTTAATGTAAACGCCGTTGAAAAGAAAGTCTCCATTTTCAAACACAACAGATCTCAGTGCGTGAGTATTAGATCTACCAAGACTAATTTTATTTACTAGGAACAAAATTCGCATATAAAATATCATTACATCTTGAACTGTTCAGTGTAAAAAGTCAACGGCAGTGAAGTGTTATTCCCCATTTTCAAACAAAACAGCTTCCATTTTGCAGGAAAATGGATTACTGAAAATCGGTGAAAACACGTTGAAAGGAAAAGCATGAAATGATGTCATGGTAATTTAAGCATTAATCTTATAGATGGATATCTTGAAGTGCCCTCCACACATCAAGCTCCTGTCGCCTGGACAGGCAATACTGCATTCCTTTTCTGGCATCTTGGCGTACGAAGATTGGATGACGTCACTGCAGAAACATTGACTCCCGTCCTGTAATGAGAAAAAGTAAGCATCGCAAACCAAGGCTTACCACAACCAACTTGATGCACCCTTGTAGTTGGCTGAATAGATTTTCTGCCCAAGCATTTCTGTCCTGTCACAGGTATTGTCATTAATCTGTTACATTCTAGTACAAACATAGCTAGTTTCCTGACAGTAATTGTCATATATGCATCTTAATAGTAATAGAAAAAGATGTCAGTGAGTGAGTGAGTGAGTTAATATTTATCGTCAAATCGGCAATGTTTCAGCCATATCGTGACGAGAACAATTAATAATTATATTGTAGATCAATGAAATTGATAGTCTGTTAACGAAGAACAGTAACACTACTAGTGTATCACAGATATCCATTTAAAACTAGTAATTAAATCTAAATCATGTTAACTAGAAATGACAAGACAATGTAAAAACAGGCTATAGATTGCCAACAACTGAAGGTAGATCACCATACTAGGGACCATGGGGACTTACAGTACATTTCCTTCCTGCATGGACCCTAGCTGGATTTTCACCGCCCCTTCAGCTATAGGCAATTTTAGATAATCTAGCCATAAGTTAAAATAACATATATGTTATGATTAAAAATAGTGGTTTGTTGAAATTAACTTTGAACTATTTTGGGACTTCCGTACCCTCCGAGGAGGACGATAATTTTACAATACTTCAACCCCCTTTGAGGGTACAGCCACTAGTAATCTTAGTTACTAATCTAAACTACCGATAATAAAATATATATCTATTTACAAACTATTCATAAAAAAATATCCAATAATTCTATTTCTTTTAAAAATTCAAGAATTAAGTGAAGATTAAAAGTACTAAAAAGATCCTTATCAGTTTTAAAATTGAAATACTGATCCCTTGTGATGGAAAAATCAATACAGTCAAGCAGGACATGATTGACCGTGATTCTTTCATCACAAGGGATGCAAAACGGAAGATCTTCGCCTTTTAACAAATATTCATGAGTAAACCTTTTATGACCAATGCGACATCGTCGCATGATGACCTCTTAAAAATCTGGACTGACAACCCAAGTAGGTGTAACCAATATAGGGTTTTGTTTTTGTAATTTGTTAATACCTACTTGGGTGTCCCACTTCTTTTGCATCAGATCACGGATGTAGGTTCTAGATAATGTTAGCTTTGTAATCAGAGTGTGGAATAAGAAGTGGTCTCACAGATTTATTGAGTGCTGCCTCGGCAGCAAGATCGGCCATTGTGTTCCAAGAAATGCCAACGTGGCTGGGTAACCATCAAAAGACGATCTCGCATTGACCAGTTGAAAGATCATTCAATTCAATTATTTCAATTGAAAGTGGATGTTTACAAGAGATATTTTTTATAGCCTGAATGCAAGAAAGAGAATCTGAAAATATGATATACTGTTTATATTTGGGTTGTCTTTTAATATATTTAAGAGCTGTTAGTATTGCGGTAGCTTCTGCTGTGAAAATAGAGCTGTTATCAGGCAATCGAGAAGATATTGTTCTGGATCCAATGACAGTGGCACAAGCTACTGCGCCACCATCCTTGGACCCTCTGTAAATAAGAATTGTTATGTATTATATTTAGTTCTTAATTGAATACATTCTTGTTTATACGGTAATTCATTAGTTTCGGATTTTTTAAATGTGGTTAATGTTACGTCAACGTGTGGCCTCACTAATTGTCAAGGAGGAGAAGAAAGAAGACGGGAAGGAGATATATTTTCCAACTCAAGGCCGGCAGCAGAAATGAATGGTTTAATTCTGAGCCCAAGAAGCTGAACAAGAGAAGACTTCTTGTTGTACAGATCCACACAGAGGGGATTAAAGTTATATGCAGAGTTCGACTGATTAGAATATAGTTTAGTGATATATTGCAAAGATTATTTTATACGGTATTGGCTAAGAGAAGGCTCGTCAGCTTCAACCTAAATACTGTCAAAAGGAGAAGTTCTGAAAGATTCAAGACAAAGTCTTAAACCTTGGTGATGAATAGAATCAAGAAGTTTAAGGTTGCTTTTACAGGCTCCACCATATATGATGGAGCCATAATCAAGTTTGGATTGAAAAATAGTTCCGGGTCTTTATGAGGTTTGTATTTACGGCAGAAATGTATACAAATAGTTTTCGATTTTGAAAATTTAAAGCCATTTCAAAACACCATTTATCTATTTTGTTTAAACACAACTGCATTTACCGTTCAGTTGTGTGCATATGTTTACCACGGCAAGAAATATTAACATCATGATTGTAATGATAAGACAGGGAAGAACCCACGCGGACTTGAAATTGTCTGTCATTCAAAAAGTTGGTTATAAATTGAGGGAAACGGCCTCGCAATCCGAAGCCATGGAAATCTCTTAAAATGCCATATTTCCACGTCGGGTCATATGCCTTTTCGAGATAAAAAAGACACAGCCTGTTGTTTATTAATTAAAGCGTTTTTAACAAATGATTCCAAACGCACTAAGTGATCGACAGTACTTCTGTTTTTACGGAAACCACATTGTATATCTGTTATAAGGTTATTGGTTTCCAAGTACCAAACTAGTCGATTATTTATCATGCGTTCCATGGTTTTGCAAACACAGCTATATAGTGAAATCGGTCGATAATTGTAAGAGTGCCCCTAAACATGTATCTGGTAAGTGTTTCAGGAGTTGATAATGTATGTTATCAGCTCCTGAAGCAGTATCGTGAGCCTGATCAAGAGCAGTATTAAGCTCATGTATCGAAAAATGTTTCGCTGTAATTTTCCCCATTATCTGAATTGAAATTAAGAGATTTCTGTTCTTGCTGTTTTTAGTATTTTTGGAATTCAGTTTCGCCAAGATTGGCGTTTACTTTGCTTGAAAGTACACCATGCTTTAGCGTTTAAAATTCTAAATTTGTCTAAATTGTGGACCAGAGGATGGCGACGGAAATAATGCTCGGCTTTCTTCCGTGCCTTCCTAGCCTGTTTGCATTCATCGTTAAAGCTTGGTTTCGTACGCATGGAATTGCAGAGGACTTTGGGATACATTCGTCAGCTATGTTATTTAGCTCATCTGAAAAAACATTCTATGGCATCAGGAATATCATTAAAAAGTTCAGGTTTTAGTTTGTCGGCACAGAGAATGTTATATAAAGGCGCGGGTTGCGGCTCTATCACCCGGAGGAGAAAAACAGTGATATGCGTTGAAGTGACGGGAGTAAAAGTTATCTGGCTGTTTCAGATAAGTTTCTTGGTTGCAGAACGCTGATGGTTTAAAATCTTGGTTTAATAGATGTAAATCGTTTAAATTAGTCCGGAGTCCTCTACAATTCCACTGAATTATAGTTGAAGGAATTACTTCTTCGGCGGATGAACAGGAGATCTACTCCTCACCTTCCTTGAGGGCGACAAGCCATGAGTCCTACCATGGCTATGGTCGGACACATCCATGACCTCAAGGGATCCAAACTTCTTATTCGACCCCTTTGGGGCTCTGTTACTTTGATTCTTTTTGTTTTCATAGTTTGGTTTGGATGGATTTTTCACAGTCACTCTCTCACTTGTGTCAGATGGTTTAGATGGTTGTTTCTGAGATGAGGATTTGTCTTTTTCAGAAGATGCCTTGGACTGAATGATGGTGTGTGAAGGCATGGTTTTGTGCCCTGGAAGTCACCATTGGAGGTCTTGCTTGAATTTCAGGAGTTACCAAGTATGGGGCAGAAGTCCTAGCTAACGTATAGTCAATTCAATTCAATTCAATATTTTATTGTATGAAAGGCCATAGGCCCATATACAAAAGAGATACATCTTGACAATGGCATATATAATCAATTTTCTAACTAATCAATTCTTTTCTTAACAAAAATGCATTGTAGATAAATAGAGCAACTTTGTGTTGTTTTGGAGGTTCTTTGCTGGAAAGTAAGGAAGACAATAGATTAACGTTGATTTGAGATAAAGACAGTTGCGGTAGATACTTATTTCTTAGATTTTCATATACAGGACAAATAAACATAAAATGGAATTCGTCTTCAATAATAAAACAGAATGGACATAATCTTTGGGTTTTTTCCATAGAAACATATCTTCCACGGTTAATTAATAAATCATTAAGGCCTAATCTAAACCGTATAAAAGCATTGCGAATATTTCTGTATTGAAGGTGAGCAAGATAACACTCTGGCTCAAGCAACGACTTAAACTGACGATATGAATCGTATCTAGAACTTTCATTAATAGTTGAATGCCATTCCTGCTTAAACATATCAATAGCCCGCATACGAAACTGTTTAATAAACATATTTGCATTGCCAACTGTCTGTGATAACCAAATACAACCAAAACCATATCTAAATAGTAATAGTCGGTTTGGCAACCTACTGAAATCCATGAAACATGTTTTGATGTAGAGGCCTGAACAGAAGCAGAAATAGTGGCAGCATAACTCGGACATGAATGTTCTTGTATCAGAACAATGTTTTGCTTCAAAAAATGGCTCGTTTCGCTCATGCTTTACTCGCGAAATTTTCGATTGCAACTTCCAGGAAGGACATTCCTTGGATGAAAAAGGATGGCAACCCGCGCAGTTGAAACAAACAGGTGTTTTGTCACAAAGGTTACTGTCTTCGCATGTTCCGGCACATCGATGACATGCAGCTGGATTGTTGCAAGACTTGGCTCCGTGACCATACTTCTGACAACTATAACACCTTAAGGGATCTGGGATAAAAGTATCCACCCTCAAGTTGCAATACCCTGCTTTCAGAGATTGTGGGTGTACTGGTAGACAAAATGTGAACATATACGTGTTAGTTTTGATAACTTCGTTATTCTTTTTAACTGTAAAGCGTTTGACCAGATTTACACCTTGGGAATGCAATTCAGTCATGATATCAATTTCGCTTATGCCTCAAAGGCAACGTCCAGTATCCCGGACGATGCCCTTGCTGCTATTTAGCGTCCTGTGAGGGGACGCCTCCACAGGAACATTTGCTAACGATGTTTGTTTGAGCAATATTTGTGACTGTTTGTGTATCCTGCACTCGATTAGCAGGGAACCAGATCTCAACTTTTTTATTTCCTTCACATCTCCGGCGAAACCTTCAATGCCCTTTGATACAGCAAAGGGATTCAATTTTTGAAGAAGAACAAGAAAACGAGGCCAATTATCAGGATTGTTAAAAGTTGCTTGACCTTCATCTTCTGAAGACAACGAATCATCAGATTCGTGTGATCGTGTTTTGAGTGGGGGTGACATGATAGAAATGTATATGATTCATCCTCCTAGCTCCCCACCCACCATGGAGTGTCAACAAGGACGGTGTCTCTTGTCTGTGGGTCTCCAACAGACGACACCAGGGATACTAAGAGGGTATACTCAAGCAGGAAAATATCTTGAAAAGATAGATCCTACCAGATTGGCTCATGGGCCACAACCTTC